ACCTCCATTTCTGAGTCTATGATATTTCAGAATTTACCCGATAATATATTTTTTTATAAAATATAACCAAAACAGAACAATGAAAGATGAAGATACTCAAACGGATTCAAAGAGAATCTGTCAAGCCATGAAGACCTAACCCTACAAATATACTGTTTCGGCTGCTTATTGGAGATGTCGTGAGAATAGTTAATCAATATTTTTTTTTTTTTTTTTTTTTTTGTTATTTTGCTTTCAGTTAGAAGCATAGATAATATACCAGTATTTGTCTAATGCTATTATCAAAAGGTTACGAGCCAGGCTTGAGGAGCCTTTTTCGGCTTAGAGTACCGCTTCGCTTAGTGCCTCAGGGTCAGGCACCAGTTAGGTTTTTTGCTCGGCCTGGCAAACAATTTTCAACCATCAAACCTACCAAAAATGATACCGGAATTTCGCCTAATACACGCAGCAAGTCTTATAAAAAGAGAATATTTTGGTCAGCACTAGGAGCTTCGACTGTATCCGGTGTTTTATATGCGACAAAGGATGATGAGACCTCACTCATGACAAAAGTCGACAAACTTGTGACTACTTTCGGAAGAATCGGCGTGGTTACCATTGCTACCGTCAAGTGCTTTTATTTGTATAAGGTACTGCTTGACAAAAAGTTTGAGTCGGAAGAAGAAGAAAAAGATGCTTTTTCTGAGACGCATCTCAAAGCCGCTTTAATCACTCGAAAAGCGTTAGAAACGAATGCTGGTATTTTTATTAAACTTGGACAACACATTGCTGCATTGACATACTTATTTCCACCCGAATGGACCGAAACTATGATTCCTTTACAAGACTGTTGCCCTGTATCTTCTATTGAAAGTATTGATCAAATGATTAAAAACGACATGGGTTTAAGTTTAGACGAGATGTTCATTGAATTTGACCCCGTTCCTCTAGGCACCGCATCACTAGCCCAGGTTCATCGGGCACGGCTAAGATCTACTGGAAAAGAAGTCGCAGTTAAGTTTCAACATCCATCTTTAAAAGAATTTGTTCCTTTAGACGTTCTCATGACACGCACAGTATTCGCTATTATGGATTATATTTTCCCTGATTACCCCATGGTATGGCTCAGTGACGAGATGCAAGAGTCAATTTATGTTGAACTTGATTTCACTAATGAGGCCCGAAACGCTAAAAGAACCTCTGATTATTTTAAGGACCGTTATAATGTAACAGCCCTTCGCATTCCTGAGGTCTACTCTGCTCAACCACGTATTCTTGTAATGGAGTTTCTAGGAGGATCTAGGCCTGACGATTTAGAGTTCCTGGATAAACATAAGATTTCACGCGCAGATCTTAGTAGTTCATTTGCTCATATTTTTAACGACATGATTTTTACACCCAATGTTGGCCTTCACTGCGATCCTCACGCTGGAAATATTGCGATTAGACCCATCAAGAATGGCCGCAGAAATTATGAAATTATTCTCTATGATCATGGCCTCTATCGAGACGTGCCTACTGACGTCTGCAGAAGCTACGCTCACTTTTGGCTTGCATTGATAGATAAGAACGAACCTGAGATGAAGAAGTACGCTAAAGAGTTTGCTGGTATCACTGACGATCAGTTTAAGTTGTTTGCTGCCGCCATCACCGGACGCGACTTTGACAACGCCGTAAACAATGTTGTTTCAAGAAGAAGTCACAAGGAGATTGAAAACATGGCTCAATCTCTTTCGCAAGAAGGTTTCGTGAGCCAGATCATGGTCATGCTTCATTCCATGCCTCGTATTGTTTTACTAATCTTAAAGACCAACGACTTGACTCGGTATTTAGACGAAAAACTTGATAGTCCTCTTGGCGTTGAGCGCACGTTTCTAATCATGGCGTCATACTGCGCTAAAACTGTGTATGAAGAAGCCAGAGAAAATATTTTAAACAAGTACGGCATGTGGTCGTTTGGAAGATGGAGCGGCCTTTTGTGCAATTGGTGGTGTTACTTTAAAAGACAACAGCAGATGTTCGTTTACGACAGTTTGATGTGTTTTAAAAACTTGTTATAGATGTATTTTTTTTTCCGAGTATGATATAACGATTATAATTAATGCGAGAAAATTATCTAAATAAAGTATTGATCATTATTGAGCCGATAACTTTTGAAACTTTTATAAATTAAAAAGGCTTGTTTGATTAGATCAAAAACCCGTTGGATTGTTTATGCCAAATTAAGAATTGACAATATCAGAAATTTCAACAACGTCTCACAACATTCAAAATTTGACATGATCAAATTAATATTATTTAGACTTTTCAACGCCCAGGAATTTGGTTTTCAAACCGTCTGGGTTTACAAAAGTCACTCTCATTAAACAAAAAATCTCCTAAAAACAAAAAGAAAAAGTAAATAAAATGAAGTATTCAAAAAATATATGTTTCAAGTAACATTACTCTTTAAATGTTTTTTTTTTTGTGTTTGAAGTCAACCCTCGTTAATTTTAATGCAAAAATAAAACATGGTTGTTTTATCTTTCTCAAGACAATAGCAAATGACAACAAAACCTTTTAGCAGCTAGTTGTGAAATCAATTTACAGAGCCTTTAGTTTTCTGTTCAATTATATAGATATTTGAATCTTGGAATAGTTTAAAACTGAATAAATTATGTGATAAAAAGAAATTTCTTTTAAAAAACTTTAGTTTTTTTAACATAATTACTGGGGTAAAAAAAATTCTAAAACTTGGTAATAGTTTCAATAGATAAAAAAATGTTTATTGTCTTTATATCACAGAAGTTTCAGTATTTGATGATATACCACATACTTGATGAACGAGTAAGAAAAAATCCTGAAGTATATATCACTTGACTCTTTGATACTACAAAAATATTTTTTTGGATGCTAGCAATCATCAAAAGTATATAAATCAGATCTACTCCCGAGGATTTGTATTTTTTTAATTACAAATTCAATTAATACAATTCCATTTTTGACCAATAAAAAAATAAATTTAAATCAAAACACAACTTTTGACTTTTTAAACAGATCGCTTTCTACCTAAATAAAAAAAAATTCCAAAAAATGTCTGAGTTAAAAAATAAGTATTATCTTGTTAATAGTAAGTGACGACATTATACATGTTTTTTTTTTTTTTTTTTTTTTTTTCATTCACACAATTAACAAAATTTCTGTTACTAGATACCAAAGATAATTATCAGGATGAGTTTCCTGACCCTTTCAGCATTGTCTGTGTGATCTCCTGAAGCAACTGGATTTAGAAACAACCTGAAACCATGATTTGAGAGATAGTCAAATGAGTTTTACTACTTTAAAATTATTTATTTTGCCAAATTTTCATTAAAACTTTCTTATATTATTTCTACACATATTGTTAAATAAAACATTATTTTATAAAAACTTGAAATTACAACTGTCTGCAAGCTTTAGAAATTTTATAAATTGATTGCGTCAAAAATTATTTATAAATTAATTCATGTCCTAAGGGAAACTTGGAATATATGACATTTGATGCTCTTGAAGTATCTTTGAATTCAATGTCGTTTTGGTATATCTTTGTTATTATTTTGTAACTATGTGATATAGGAACCATAACAGGCTTTTATTTACTATTGATTTTGCATTACATGGTTACATGAAAAAAAATAAAGACAAAGATATAAAAAAAAACAGTTTTAAGTAAAACACATGAGACTCATATGCCTAATGACTATGATTTAGATAGAAAATCTGTTTATTGTCCTTACATCACATAGTTACATAATTAAATAAAAATAACACAGATATACAAAGAAGACATGGAATTCAAAAACATTTGTCTCTATGAGACTTTAAAATTAGCGTTCTCAGCGCGCTTTAGGTGTTTCAGGCATTCGATGGCGCCGAATTCTCCATGAAATAATACATGTGATAAGGGAAACCTG